AGATAGAACCCTTAAAGGACATTCAAAAAGAAACCAGTGTTATAAATATAAATGTAAACTCAAACTAAACTCCTCTATTCTATTGCAAATGTTAATGTAGCCTATAGTCTTCTTGTTTTTTTTTTTTATAATTATTGTGCTTTTTATATGTTTTTACAATGTGGGTGTCAAAATTGCAAGATTTTGGTATCATTTTGATTGTTAATTATTCAGCATATACAAAAAAAAAAAAACGCTGATTAAAAGTCTCTGCTCATCATGTTGGTCAAGTTAACCCTCATGGAAAAGCTTTATATATTCTCTGTACACTCCTTTTGTGTTTAATAACTACTACTTATATTTTTACAGCAGCTGGCATCCAGCATTTTGGTGCATTAGCCTGTTTATTGGTGACAGGAAAACCCACTTAAGTGCATTCCTGCCCCCTACTGGACATAAGTGTGTAACATAACCCTTGACGAATAGTAACACCAATAATAAAACAAACATAAAAAACTAATATTAAACAAACATATTTTATTCAAAATGATTACTTAAGCAACCTTATATTTATTAAACCATAATAACATTTCCAATAATTTAATTGCATAATAAACCTTTAATTTTGCAGGAGCATTCCTTAGCATTACCTTTTGATTTTGATTTTTTTTAGAATTAGCATAATCTATTTTCATAATTCAACAGATGTAATTCCTCTATTAATCGCATTATTTCTGTTTCTTAAGGTTTGCAATAACCTGATTCATGACAAATAATAATCTTGTTCATTACACTCAAAGACTTTTACGATGAAATTAAACTACTTCCTTTTAAAGTGAATTAACTTCCTTTTACTGTGAAAATTCATGCATACACACATCTGAAATCACTTGCATATATGTATATACACAACTTACTGTATATATGTTTGTGAATTTTATTTTGTATGTTTGCACAAGTGTCATTTGGGTGTTTATGCTCACATCAAGTTTATATTCTTATGTGAGAGTTTATGGGTGTATGTGCATAGATCAGGTTTAAATGTATATGCGAGTGTGTATAGGTGTGTTTGCATGCAGCAAGTTTATATGTATGTGCGTGTGTTAATGTGAGTGTTTATGTGAGGATCGAGTTTATATGTATGTGCGTGTGTATGTGGTTGTATTCATGCGTCAAGTTTATATGTATATACACAAGTTTCATCCATGTTGTTTTGAACATCCGGTAGTATAGGTGTATATGCAAGTAATTTATAGGTGTATATACACGTGTTTTATGTATGTGTTGATAAGCAAAGTTTGATTTAAATCCTTTACGGCACCTCATAGTCATGTATCTACTAATCAGGATAATATATCTATGATTAATATTAAATTAAAAAATTACAAGATTGAAAAAATATTTAAAATTCAACAATTTGTCTTTGTTTTACAGTAATGTACACATACATCTTATATTTATGTGGAAAACATTGCAAACAAACCTGCTCTATCACTGGTTAATGATTCAGCAGGCTGAAGACCTGAGCAGGTTGGATCACTTTCCACTCTAGGCTTCTTACAAACTGGTAGAACTATGGGAAAACAAAATTTCAACATGAACAAAATGAAGAGGTGGGTAAATACCTGGAAATGCATTCAGTACCGCATACAACAAAAAAAATAGATTAGGTATACACATAAAACACTGCATAATCTGTAAGAAACATTAATTGACTCCTGTTACAAATCCAAATAGAATTAATTTAAGTGTGGTGAGTGATAATCATAAAATGAACCATGCAAGTAATTTACTTACCACCTGATAAGCTTGATGGATTTCTTGACTGAACCCTTTTGCGTGCAGGTAAAACTATTTGTAAGCAAAATAAACTCAATTTGATTAAAGGTGAATTGCATAAAAAGTATACAAAATAAATTACAACTGTTAGGTCTCGAAAAAACATGTTGATGCCACAGGGCTGTCATGTATCTTCCAGTCAGGCTAATAAAACTAGCTGATTAATATTACATGTAAAAAAATCCAAGATTAAAAATATATATTTTCAATTCAACAATTTGTCTTTTCTTTTCTTTAATGTACACAAATAGGCCTTGCTTACATTGATGTAGCAAATACTGCAAACAAACCTGCTGTTTCACTGGTTAACGGTTCAGCAGGCTGAAGACTTGAGCTGATTGAATCCCTTTCCACTCTAACATTAGGCTTCTTGCGTACTGGAAGAACTAATGTTAAGGGGAAACAAAATTTCAAAATTAAAAAAAAGGGTGGGAGCAAAACATTTGGAAATAACGTACGATACCGCAAAAAACAACTAAAAGCACGATATAAACACTTACTGTAATGGTCTGCGTTGTATTTGTGATTTTTTTTTGTTATTGCCCTTCTACTCCTCGTTGCTGTTCCTGACTCTTCCATTTTGTCAGGATCCTCTTCATCTGTTAATTGGCGCGTGGTTTGTATAAATGGCGACGTACCTTCATCCTCATCAGTTGAGGACATAGTTTGAATTCTCACTACAGCAAGTTCACCTCTAAATCCAACGTGAAGCTCTGGTGGATCTTGTATGTCTTTACAGTTTTCCCAGGATGCAAATACTTCCAAAGAAGGTGCTCCGTATAGTTTTACTTTACCTAAAATTTTCAAAATGTTTACATTTCCTTTGATCAAACCTGGTCGTTCCATTGTGTCTTGCCGAATAGAGTGGAGGAACTATGACGTCAATTTGTATGCAAAAACCCGGAAGCGAGTTAGCATTTTAGCACTTCCGGTTCCCTCGTCCCAAAGTCAATGGGTTTTTTGAATGGGGTTTCAGTAAAATCGCTCAAATAAGGTCCGTGGCTAACACCAACTCAATATACTTTCACGTTTTGTTCTACGACATAAAACACATCAGTTACAGCACACTCTTCAACTTTTAAATCGATTATGCTTCTTTAAAAAGACGGTTGCTATCAAGTTGCTAAATGAGACTACAGGCGGCGTCGGGGGCATTATACGTCATCGAGCTGATCTGGTCTGGAGCGCAGCTCGCTTGGGCGTTTGGATTAGTCTGTGATTTAAGTATTTTCAGAATAGTATTTTATAGTTTGTTGTATTATTCTAATTGAGAATTCAGATTGTGTGTAGATAATTCCTTCACATGTAAAGGCTGTCGAGACAGATTCATTTGTTGATCATTCATTTTAATTAAACGATAATATGAAGATACTGCTCAGTGCAGCCTGTTTCTTTCCTGCTCTCAGTAATGCAAACGTGTGAATAAATGTGTAAAAATGCATGCATGTTAACTGTCATTTTAACGTGATCAAGTGATTTCTCGTCTTTTTTCTTCATCTGAACACATTTAACTCTGTCATAACTGCAATATTTACACTCCTCCATAACGTATAGCAGATGTAACTGTATGGGCTGTTTTTCGCTGTACTTCGTGGCACAAAAGGAATATTGAATGTTGTTCTGTGTCCATGATGATGAAACCTGCAGGCATTTGATAGACTTGTTCCTCCTCACGCCGTCGTCTGTTAAGGTAAGCGGGCTGTGTGCACGCGAGCGATACACTTATTTAAATATGTCTCATAATAATACTATATAGGCACATTTATACACATTTTTTAAACTTTTAGAACAACCGCAAAGCAAAACAGATGTATCTCCCACGAAAAAAAGGTTCCAAAAGGCACAAAGGTCTATGTGTGTTTGCGTATTTATTAGTTTATAATATATAGCGTGGATTACAATATAATAAACATAGAGATTAACTCTTAGTCATGGACGTTAATTCTAAAAATGAGCTTGATAAGTCGTCTGTAGTAGGGAGCGTGGGGCTGACGTCACTGACGAGTGTTAGCTTTTCAAGTCTTGCGTTTGCATTTAAGATCCAAAAGTGCTCAATGTTGTATTTTTGTGTGACAATTATCCGGCTAAACAAAACGTGTAAGTGTAATGAACAGTGTTTGAACACAGAGCGTATTATTCGCAATCTTCGAAAACCCTATGGAAAATCCTATCGGTCTTTGTCAGTCACGTGCATTTGTTGTGAGTGACGTCACACCGGCGCCATTTTTGTGGTATCGCTTTGCTTGACAACTTGAGAGAGACACATAACGCAAGAGAGATACATGCCATAACAAGGTCAATCTGGAGAAATACAAGAAAATCGAGAGCACGCGGCAACGCAATAAACTAAACAAACATGCCAGGGATCGTCATTTTGATAAACTGACTTACATACAGGTTATAGATCCGTTTGAATTAACTGCAAACCAACGGAGTGCGCTGCCGCCGACCCCTCATTGCTGATAATAATGACATGTCATACGGTATATCATCAATGTCTTAATATAAATTGTTTTAGTTTGAACATCATTAAACCACAATAAGTATTTGTAATTATGTATTGCATTGTTTTGTTTTATTTCATTAGGTACATCTAATACTTACATTTACAAACTATTGGATAGATGTTTGTATCCAAAGTATTTTACAAATATGAACAATAAATGGAATGAAAGCAACAGAACAAAAAATGTAAATATTATTATTAATTTTATTTAGTCAAATACATTGAGTGCATATAGAACAAGATTAAATAAAATAAACATTAGATAAAATAATACACCCAAATATTAAGATATGTTGAACACAAATACAGATATTATGATAAAAGCTGAAAACCTGTAACTACTGACTTCCATTGTATTTGTTGGTTTTTCTACAATTTCAATTACAGATTTTCAGCTTTCTTTATGATATCTTTATTAGTGTAAAGAGAAAAAATAAACTCATAAAGGTTTACAACCACTTGATGGCAGGTAAATAGTAAGTCACTTTAAATATGTGGGTGAACTATTTATTTCAAACTACTGATTGACTTATTGTTTAACTTTAAGCAAAAGCAATTGTCTCAGTTCTTTAAAGGATTATTTAGTTCAAGTAATAACTGCTTACCTTGTGTTTGGTTCTGATGTACCAGTTTTGTGATTGTGAAGAACATACACAATAAATGAGTAAACAACACATTTTAAGTCATCCTCCATTTATTTACATTTATACAATTTATATTTTTATTCAGGCACTGAGGGAAAAGTCATTTCTGGAGGAATGCCCCATACTGTTTACATAAGACAGGATGAAACATCAGCAAAACAGTCATACATACAGTGAAAGAAAACAAAGTTACAAAAATGTAAAGGAATTTTTTAAAATAATGTATCAATTATGCACAAAAAAACATTTATACACCTGGGCTTTTAACTCTTATTGACATCTACAGCTCTTCTACACTACAAGTGAACGTTGCTTTGTTTGACAGTTACAATCCTATGCTGTAATGTGACATGTCATAAAAATACAATATGCATATAATAATGAGCCATGGATGACCTGAGCTCAAACAAACCTTGTCGTTGTCTTGATGTACAGCCACAAAGCCAAGAAGAACAAAATCTGCCATGTCCTGTTGTAGTTTTACGGCAGTCTAAAAGTGCGAGCGGTTTTCAATTTCTCCAGGGAGCTCGCGATCGCATCTATATTCAATATAATGAACTCCTTGAGCTGATGATAATAACGTGTGAGTGATTATTGAAGTGTCTCCGTCATCTGATGATCCATTCAGAAAGAAAAGAACAAACGCCGGAGTGAAGTGCGAAATAAAAGAATAAGCCCTACAAAACACAGGAGCAAATTGTTTCAGCAACCTGAATCAGGAACAAACTGCCATGTTTATCATCGCCTTTTGAACTATTATGAACTCTGGTAAAGATTACAGACACAGATGAAAGGTTTGCACTGACTGTGAGCTGTATGTTGCATGTTGTTTTTGAACTCAAATAAGGACTAAATGTATGCTGTGAGTAGTTTATCTGTAGTTCATAACATATCGGAGACTGTAAGAGGCTGTTGTGTTCATTTATGTTGCATTTATTAATTAATTTATATAATTGCAGACGTTACAGTAGGCTATTTTGCACTGTCATTGATTTGCAGTTATAATCAAATCATGTTCATAGGAAAGCTAGTAATAAATATTTATACACAAGCATTTATATGTGTAAAGCATCTGTTTTGTGAAGTGCTTCTCATGTGATATGTGAACGACCCGTACAGCTTTACTGTAGACGTTTATTCGAGCGAAAATGACGTCGACTTAAACTTTCTGTCGTACACCACGCCTACCAAAAGGGTCCCTTGGTAGTGAAAACGCAAGCCTGACAAAGGTGACCTGTACTGACCCGAACCATACAGTACTGTACCACGCAGTGGAAACAAGCCAATAGTTTTCCAATAAACAATTGCTCAAAATATGGCAAGCCATGATTGACTTAAAGTCCATATTTTTAACTGATATGGCAAGCCATTTTTTACATAATTTTGCAATCTTTTACTGTCCATTTTTGCATGTATCACTTTCACACTTTATAGTTTATGTTTTTCACAAGCTTTATATTTTTGATAAAATATGGCAAGCCATTTCTAAATAAAATCCAAGTCCAGTTTTTTTGACTGTCACAGAGAGGGTTGACTTTTTTGATGTATCTTCACTAAGTTGTCAATTGTCCCCATAGCAAAAAAAAAACCAGGCTAACCTAGCAACCATTTAAAAACAGCAAAATCTCTACATCAGAACATTGTAGAGACCTGGGTATTTGCTCATTTGACTCATGCTAGCAAATGGGACTTCCTGTGTACTATGCAAGGTAATAATGATAAGCCAAAATGCAATTAGATTCATGCAATATTATCTAAGTGCAATAACATATGCTAGAAATGCCTACTAAACATTAGCATTAGATCAAACATGTGCATGAGTATTGCCATTTAGCAACTGCTTAGCAACCACCTAGCAATGCCGTAAACATTTTAGCAACTGCCAAGCAACCACTTAGCAACCGCCGTACTTCCTGCCAACTGCTATTCCCAGTCCTAGCGCAGTCACGTTGGCTTTCTCAAGCCAACATCAAAGTTTATCAACGAACTTTAGGTTCTAGATAAATTTTATTTAATACTTAAGGATAAAAAGATATCTTGAATAATAAATCATTTGTTCATATTATTACAATTTTATATTCATAAGGCAGCACGGTGGCTCAATGGTTAGCACTGGCGCCTCACAGCAATGTCGATGGTTTGAATCCGGATTGGGTCAGTTGGCATTTCTGTGTGGAGTTTGCATGTTCTCCCCATGTTTGCGTGCATTTCCTCTGGGGGTCAATTTCCCCAAAGACCAAAGACAAGCGTTATAGCTGAATTGACCCTTTGCTACGCCACACCCAAAAACTGCCCCCCACCAATCGTGGTTTAGCAACTGTAGCTACGTGCAGGGGCTCTGTCAAGCTTTCAAGCGATGGAAACTAGCCAAAGCGTTGTGCATATGAATTTTGCAAATCTGGCACCAGGTATCCTTAAAATTTGGACGCGGTAGTGGAATTTTTTCCCTTTTTAAACCTAAAACCCAACAGGAGAAATGCCAGCGTGGATTAAGCTGGGTGGGGGCGCTAAAGGAGAGGAGTTAAGTTGGTTTTGTTTTCGAATTGTTTTTATTTACATTCAGTGACAGACCGACGGCACTAACTCACATACCCTAAACAGATCTAAACTGTGTTTTCTACAAAAATACAAAGCAGGTTATGTTTCCCAGTGGTCTTTTCCGTTTTTCACTCAATATTATGAACACTGCTCCGTTTAAGCCCTCGCCCATGCTAATAGCAATCATATTTCCATCTGTTTCAAGCTACGAATATTTAAAATTACAAATCAACAGAACAAAACCAAGTTCTGATCACAAACTGAGCACTTGTGATCAATATAGGCTACTTGTAGTAGGTAGCTGGTAGAGAAAATCTATCTGTTCACTTCTGCTGTTTATACTTTGATTTGCATTTCAATTTTTTTTTATTTCTTCCACTGAACTGCAAATTAGAATAGAAACAGGATAAAGATCACACAAACACACTGACAGTTATAGCTACTGCATTGTTATGGGTCAATGATGCTAATATTCAGCACAAATTCATAAATTTCCCTTTTCTGGTTGTTTTTTCTATGAATGAATTATGTTGAAGCACTGTCCATGCGTGTTTCCTCGTCGGTTAGTAACGGTAAATCTGGCTTTTTGGCTAAAAAAGAGAAATCACTGTTTAATTAGTTATTAGGTTAATTTTAAATTTCACCTCTCCTGCTGTGCATGAACTAAGCTGTTGACTAGTCAGCGTATGAGGTGGCTAGGCTAACCTAGCTTCACTTTTGATTAAATTATTTTCTAATCGGTTGCTATTAAGTTGTGAATATACCCCTGTAATGCATACTGCAGTACTTTTTTGTCTGGTTTTCTCAGATATCTCACCTGTTTGTCAAAAATTACTAATTATATCCCTGGCAATGTCTGACACTGGCGCATACACATTGTAATAGATGTGCCAGGCACGAAAGCTTGACAGGCGTAGCAACGGTAACTAAGGAGGGCGGGGCTTAACGATATCCGCTTGTTAAGTGTGACGTCGCGCGAAGCGGCTTCCGGGTCCAAGCGCTCTATTCAGCTGAATGGGGAAACTCATGAAATGGTAATAATAAACGTTTACAAAGCAATTTATTGCTTTCGAAAATCACGATCGCAGTATTGACCTTATTCTCCGCAGACGAGCGGGCGCTGCCATTTGAATCTTTTTGGCACGAGACTTCCGGTCTCATTCACTTCCATTCATTTTTAGACAGTAAAAACTGCTCGTTTCGCTGTTTGATGTTGCAAACTGATATTTCCTTGTTATATTATTATACTTGGTCTGTATAGTCATGCAAACATTTGTTTGTAGTTTGACCGTTTTTTGCCGTTTATTTTTCCTTGTCATTTCTCCCATAGGCGACTGAAACGGAAGTTCTAAGACAATCGCGAAAACAGGCGCACTTCTGCATTTTAGAATAAGGTCAATATTTGTCCATGCCTAATATCTGATGGCCAGAAAGTGATTAATTTTTTTATAAATTGTAAAATGTTTTGGTATTTGTTATGCCGTAAGCCCAAAGATTGTTGTGTACACTATGACTTTATGTAAAATTAACTTTAATGTGTGATAGGAATTAAACGTGATCATAAACGAAGGATTTCTCCACTCAAATGAATGGCTTGGACCCGGAAACAGTATTACATACGTCACAAACACGTCACCACTTAACAAGCGGATTGGCTGTAGTGTATGTTTAAGTGACTAAGCCGAAGGAAAATTAATGAATGAATCCATAAATGTACATTTTTTTTAAATGCCCCAGTGGTCTTTGAAGAAGTATTTGTGATATATTTGAAGAGATATATTCGAAGACCTTAAGAGGGATAAAAAGACAAAAAGCAAGATATTTATATACTTTAATAGAGGATTTTGGTTTAATTTTTTTAAAACTTCAACTCCAGTGGAACTTATTTTCTTTATTTATCATTTATTTTATTTGTTCGTTTTTGTTATTGTTTTTATCTTGTATTATTATTATTAACATTAATGTGGACGAAAAGATTGTGAATGTTAATTGATTGTCATCTCAGTCGTTTGTGTCATTTAAAAGAAGTATTAGGTGCGTTCGACATGAAGCTCAGCTGCAGCCGGTGATCAACGAGATTAGCCGAGCGCAGGCGGGGCGGAGTTGAAAACGGAGCCGTCAAGACGGACAGCTGGACACTTCGGGACTCAAAGTTGCTGCAGTCATGATGACCGATCACATGGCGTCATCATATTTTTTTGTTATTTTTATTTATAACAACAAAACATTTACAAATAAAACAGAATACAGGCTCTTCAAACTGTAGTTCCTTTTTAAACAATAAGAGAGAATTATGAATAAAATATATAACAAATGCATGAGATAAATAAGAGGAAATGAGAGGTTAATATAAACATAAAAACGAACAGGTCTATTAAATACAAAGCAATAAGCATAAATTCTAGGAGTTAACCATCAATCTTTAGGCTAATACTTCTTGTTTGAATCTGCTAAAAAAGGGTTTACATATATGTACATTTATAGATATAAAAATTTCCCATGTAAAAAGCAAAACAAGGTGTTTTGATTAGGTCTTAATAAATGACATTATTTTGGATAATGAATGAATTTTTAAAAAAGCATTTTAATCCAAAAAGATTGTGTTGAAAAGAACAAAAGGTAAAATAAGTGAGCTATGTAGAAGTTTCCCAGAAAGAGCAGGTAGCCTTTAAACTGCTAGACAGGAAATAAAATATATATTATATTATAATAATAAAGCCATTTTATAATTATTTAATAAAATAGTTCTTTACTTTAATTTGTTAAGAGAGCTTTAGGGTGGCAGGATCAATGATGATGATTTTCTTATTTCAAGTCTGTAAGACTTATTTGAGTTCATATTTAGGTTATTCACTAAAATATACACTAAAATATATCATTTAAATCGTTCATGGAGATGAATGCAGTAAATAGTCTGTATAAAAAAGTTAAAAAATAAACCTGTGCAAACAAGCTAACCTTTATAACCAGATTATTTAACAAAAGATGATTACTGCAGTAAAATATTTGTAGTCTTTTAATAAGCAAGATGTGTACAGGATAGAGAGGGTGTGAAAAGTGAATTGTTTGGTTTTGAAACTTTTGAATCGGAATTTGTCCAATTATAAACCCGAAATACACGTGTTTGTTGTCATGTGGTGAACTCGGCCAATCGTGTAATATCGGTGTCGTCATCAAAGCTCCTGCAGTCGCTCTTCAGAAGCTGCATGGTCTGAGTTTGCCGTCTGATCTCGGAGCGCTGTCGCGGTACTTTGATGCCACATGTGACAGTCACGTGGCGTCGGCGCAGCATCAATCCGGACAAGATTTCTAACCAGAATGCACCGCTTTAAGACAGATTTCGATCGATCTGCGCAGCGCTGCATGAAGTCGAACGCACCTATAGTTGCTAGGTGCGTTCGACATGAAGCTCAGCTGCAGCCGGTGATCAACGAGATTAGCCGAGCGCAGGCGGGGCGGAGTTGAAAAAGGAGCCGTCAAGACGGACAGCTGGACACTTCGGGACTCAAAGTTGCTGCAGTCATGATGACCGATCACATGGCGTCATCATATTTTTTTGTTATTTTTATTTATAACAACAAAACATTTACAAATAAAACAGAATACAGGCTCTTCAAACTGTAGTTCCTTTTTAAACAATAAGAGAGAATTATGAATAAAATATATAACAAATGCATGAGAGAAATAAGAGGAAATGAGAGGTTAATATAAACATAAAAACGAACAGGTCTATTAAATACAAAGCAATAAGCATAAATTCTAGGAGTTAAACATCAATCTTTAGGCTAATACTTCTTGTTTGAATCTGCTAAAAAAGGGTTTACATATATGTACATTTATAGATATAAAAATTTCCCATGTAAAAAGCAAAACAAGGTGTTTTGATTAGGTCTTAATAAATGACATTATTTTGGATGATGAATGAATTTTCAAAAAAGCATTTTAATCCAAAAAGATTGTGTTGAAAAGAACAAAAGGTAAAATAAGTGAGCGATGTAGAAGATTCCCAGAAAGAGCAGGTATACAGCCTTTAAACTGCTAGACAGAAAATAAAATATATATTTATATTATAATAATAAAGCCATTTTATAATTATTTAATAAAATAGTTCTTTACTTTAATTTGTTAAGAGAGCTTTAGGGTGGCAGGATCAATGATGATGATTTTCTTATTTCAAGTCTGTAAGACTTATTTGAGTTCATATTTAGGTTATTCACTAAAATATACACTAAAATATATCATTTAAATCGTTCATGGAGATGAATGCAGTAAATAGTCTGTATAAAAAAGTTTAAAAATAAACCTGTGCAAACAAGCTAACCTTTATAACCAGATTATTTAACAAAAGATGATTACTGCAGTAAAATATTTGTAGTCTTTTAATAAGCAAGATGTGTACAGGATAGAGAGGGTGTGAAAAGTGAATTGTTTGTTTTGAAACTTTTGAATCGGAATTTGTCCAATTATAAACCCGAAATACACGTGTTTGTTGTCATGTGGTGAACTCGGCCAATCGTGTAATATCGGTGTCGTCATCAAAGCTCCTGCAGTCGCTCTTCAGAAGCTGCATGGTCTGAGTTTGCCGTCTGATCTCGGAGCGCTGTCGCGGTACTTTGATGCCACATGTGACAGTCACGTGGCGTCGGCGCAGCATCAATCCGGACAAGATTTCTAACCAGAATGCACCGCTTTAAGACAGATTTCGATCGATCTGCGCAGCGCTGCATGAAGTCGAACGCACCTAATAAAAGAGAGAGAGAGGTCACCAACCTCATCACTGTCCTCACCAGTGCCCGCCCCGAACTCGTGCACACGACCTGCTGATAAACAATTATGTTTATAGACTTTTTAGTTAATGCAAAAATAAATTAACTAACTACATTCCTTTTAAATAAAATAATAACGATTTCTTTATCATTTGATGTTGTGGCTTATTACGACCTTTTATTTTAATGTGATGATGTTGCCACATAAGTCTGTAATTTTGAGCAGGCAGAATGTAGACCCTAGACAGATGACGCGAAGGTCCTGAAAGAAACTGCGCATGTGACGGATGCTGTGCGCGGGAGCTGCTGTGAAGTAGTTGTACGTTCTTTATCATTTTACATTTTATTTGTTGAAGTGTTTTATTTCACCTTGTGATGTGTAATGTGATCAACCTATCTTAAAGTAAGTACATTTGTGATGTAATTGTGGAGAAATCTGCATTGAGTTGGCGTAACGTGAGGAACTGTCAGCTAGCTGTTATCACTGAAGTGAAGCTAAAAACATATCCGTTCTCTTACTATGGCGTTCAATAATATTAAAGAGTCTATCACACGAAATGTTCATATCTAGAGAATTGTACGTAAGTTGCTCAGCTGCTTGCAACAGTTTAGCTATAATCTTATAATAGAGCTCAGTTGCTCATCATAACGCTGTCCCCAAACCCTGAGTGGCTTACGTACACATTTTTGCAATCAAATTTTTAAAGCTCCAAGAACATTTGCGTGTTGTTTGTAATGGTGAATATCTTGACCGTGTGCGTATCTAGATGAAAGGTTTGGTACGTGTTTTAAGCCTATTCCGCATAAGAGCATTACGATCTACAATGATGAGTTAATGTTGGTTAACTTCACACATCCACAACAATGTCTAAGTAACGTTATGATGAGATAACGTTACAATTATTAATTCGTTAAAAGGGGTAAAGTTGGTTTTGTACTTGCACATTCGGACTTTTTCCTTCATTCATTCATTTTTCTTTTTGGCTTAGTCCCTTTATTAATCTGAGGTCACCACAGCGGAATTAACCGGCAATTAATCCAACATATGAGCAATTCCAGCGTTATGGATGTGACATTTGCAGTAAAGCTCAAAACATAAATTCACATAGAAATGATATGTTAACATTATATTAAAACTTCTGTTTATATTTTCAGAATTACTGACCACAGAGTTACGGGACCAGAAAAATATTGATCTGTAAACATGTTTTGTACTTTATATGAGAAAAATAAACATGCAATATGGATGTGACAAAAAAAAAGTCTGCGGGTTTACAGTAGACAACATTCTTTGTAGAAATTCTGTAAACTGCACAACCCAAACAAAACAATGCTAATCAAAAGAATAAAGAGTTGCTCACTATAGAAGTATTTTACAGTACTTTAGAAATACGCAAGAATGCATCTGTTAATATTCTACAATTTCTGACCCGTTACATCTATAACGGATAGGTGTCGTTATGGATGTGACACCTCAACTATGGAAGGACATTTTAGCTTACCCAATTCACCAATACTGCATGTGTTTGGACTGTGGGTGAAACCGGAGCACCTAAAGGAAACCCACCCGAACATGGGGAGCACATCCAAACTCCACACAGAAATGCCAACTGGCCCAGCCAAGGCTAGAACCAGCAAACTTCTTGCTGTGAGGCGACAGCGCTACCCACTCTACCACCGTGCTGCACTTTTTCCTTAATATACTTGACAAATTCTAAATAGGTAAATCATATTAGAAGTGGCTTTCAAAGTACAACATTGATCACAGTCAATTAAATAGTGCTAATGTTGTTTTGAAGTCACGCTTGCATGCTATTTCAGAGGAAATACTCAAAAGTAGCGTGGTAAACAATATAGATAGCGTGCCATAAGTTGTCACTGTTCAAAAAGAATGAATGTGCGAATATAAAATCAACTTTACCTCAATCCATTATTTTTGCTGCTCCAGCTTTATATTAATTAGGAATATATTTCAAATTCATCTATGTGTATGAAGCAGGGTTTAGGCATGGGCCGGTATAAAATTATGTATATTAGTATGATAACCTTGGATAAAAATATCACTGTTTCAAGGTATTGGGATTACTGCGCTAAAATATATTCTTTGTAAATGTCTGGGTTAAAATCAAAAACTTTTTTACCCTTTTGAACATAGTATATCTAACATTTTAAATATTTTGGAACAGTAAACATGTTAGGCCAAATAAATTGACTTCTGCTGTCTTTGTTTGTTTAAATTTAATTTAAACATCTTCTCTGCTGGAGATATTATTGTCCTAAAAAAATCACAAATTAAAAATTGTACACATACCTTAGGAACGGTATTGCAGAAAATTTTGGCTGTTTTAAAACCTTGACTTTTTTCCAACCGCTGTATACCTTAAAAATATCGTCCCATACATAGCAGGTTTTTCACTGGAAATCCTTGAATATGCTTCAATTTTGATCTAGTGTTTTTTGGTGCTTCTGTGGTGCTTTCATAATAATTTGTTTTTAAGTAGGTAATTCTAGCGAACTATTTAAATAATTAGTTTTGCTCTTGCTGTGAGGCGTTCTTTTCACCGTGCTGCTCTGCTTGCGGCAAATATACCATCAAAATTTGTCCTTGAAATACTATACTAAAGTACCACAGAATACTATAGCAAATAGTATCTGGTATATTGTAGTATGAAGTATGTACAGTATGTGTATGTGCATGTTTATATGTAATTTACCACAATTGTATCTGCAGTGTGCTTGAAAATGCTCAAATTTGACTTTGAAAAATGTGTAAGAAGCCTAACAGGATATAAAATCATGAATTGTGTTTTGCTGCCTGACTTTGTAGAATAGAACTATTCTTATAATTAAAAATGATCATGTAGATGTTGACTCTGGATGGTTCATCCTAAGATTAAAACGTCATCATTTAGTCTCCCTCATGTGGTTTTAAACCTTTGAGTTTTTCATCTGTTGAACACAGAAGATAATTTGCAAAATGCTGGTTGCAGGTACCCATTGACTTCCATAGTTGGAAAAAAATGCAGTGCTTAAAGCATTCTTCAAAATATCACCTTTTGTGCTCGAACCGAAGAAAGAAACTCTATAAAGGCTGAGTAGATAATGACGGCATTCTCAATTTAGAGTGAACCATCTGTTTAACAGTCATTGTTATGGTTGACATTTTGTCTATAGGTTGTTGGTAAAAAAAAATCTCTAAAGTGCAAGTTAAAGATGTATGATACTGAATCTTTTTTGTGTTTTTTTTAGCACAATGGCATTTAACTTTGGACAAACAGGCACTGGAGGCTTCAATTTTGGAACCCCTAAAACTACCGCTGCAGCCACCACAGGTTTCGGTGTACCACAGGGTTCCAGCACTCCAGCAGGAGGGGGCTTCTCTTTCGGGGCCAACCAACCCCAGACTCAAAACTTTGGAAACCCACCATCTCAGATAGCAGGACTTCTTGCACAGCCGACACAGAACAATGGAAGCACGCAAGGTGGATTCAGCTTTGGAGCCCAAACTCAGAGTACCACTGCAGGTGGAGGCTTCTCTTTTGGGTAAGTTTTTGTCTGGGGCGATTTTTTTTATTTATTTATTTTTTCTTAAAGCAAATAAAAAGCAATTCTAAAGCATTTCATGCAAGAAGGAAAAAAATAAAGATATTTATCTAATTTGTATCTTTGTTCTATTGTATTTATTTGTGCAGTCAATTGCATTTTTTTTGTCAATACCGACTGTTTGCTTTTCAAAGTCGCTTAAATATAAATTTTATTTAGGCTAGTAGTTTTTTAGGCTTGAGGCTAAAAAAATATTTTGAGGGTTCAAAAAGACCATAAAGTGGCCGTTCACTCAAATGTGTGTGTAATTGCACAAATGTGTGTAAAACCAACTGATTTAAAATAATAAGAATGTCAAACGGGCAGTCTCATTTCTGTTTTCTTCGTTTACAGTGTTCCTACTGGTTCTTGAAGGGATAGTGTAAAATCTTGTCATTCTGCGTTGACCTTTCACTAGTTCTGAACTTATTTATAGTGAAAAATTTTTTAATGAACAGAAAAGAGGATATTTTGGGGAAAAAGCGGGAAACCATGACCTTTAACCTCCACAGTATTTTTTTCATATTATGGAATGTAATATAATTATTTTAATTAACTATTAATTTTTTTTTGTAAATGAAGCAATACAAATAGACTAAATGAGGAAAGCAAAATACTATAAACGGCCAAATATACCCTTGTAAGTACATATATAAAATATAGGGCTGTATGATTAATCGAAATTGAATCGCAATTTGAAACGTTGCACAGTTAATCGCAAGAGGCTGCAATATAAAATATAGATATTATTTTATTTCCTCCACCCATAGCAAATGGGTGACTGATGGCTGTGTGTGACTGTTTCTAACCAAATGAGTGAGCACATTTTTGTTCTGCCCAATCAGAGTTATGCAACCGAAGTATGCCCACAATAAAAAATAGAAAAACAAACAGGAAATCGCTGATAAGTGGGATTATGGTGTCTGCTGCTTCAGAAGCCCTAATAGACAAATTACTAGCAAAGAAAACAGCATTTGTAATATGAGAATATTTTGGTTTAAAAGTCACAGACACAGAACAAAAACAGGTCATGTTTAGGAGCTGTTGCAGAATTGTTGCCATGACTCACAGATTATTGATTTGAAGCTTGACTAAAAGATTAAATCCTAAATCAAATTGCGATCGCAAAATCTGTGAAAAAAATTTGCAATTAGGTATTTTCCCCAAATCGCACAGCCCTAATCTAATTTATATTAATAAGTTATAATAATAAAAATAAAATTAAAAAATAATGAATTTTTATTTTTCTTATCTCATCCTCACTCCTATTATAGATTTCAATGGTTAGATCAGTAAGACAAATGGTTTGAAACACACGAAGGAAAGTGAAAAGTAAGAACATTTTCATTTTAAGGGGAGGGGGGGGTATCCTAATATAAATTTTTTTCTAGACAAACCTATAATATACATTTGTTCATCCATAGTTCTTTCTGGACACTCAATAGAATATTAACTAGGGCTGCA